ATGAAAGGAGTAATGATTGTGATGGCCACCTCAATTGAGTTGATCGCGATGATGATGAAGGTGTTATAAATCCGACTGTGAATAGGATGAACGATGAATATTCACAATAACATTAAATCTTCAAACATGTTTAGCCACGCCTGTTGTAAACTCGAATATTTCAATTATAATAAACCACGTTTAAAAAAAATTAATTTTAATTTCTATTCCTTCCTAACAAAAAGCTGAACTTCCGCCGATCAAACGACGTCATCAGAGTAACCCCTCCCCTTCGCATTCTCTCTCGCAACGACTACCAACGCGCCAGCAACAACTTCAGCAACAATTTCAGCAACAACAATAACGTGACAAATGTGTCTCGCAATCCAGGCATCAGCAACAAGAACATTAGAACAGACACCCATGTCGGCATCTGCAAACTCGACAAGAGAAGTGTAAATCTGGCTGCTGCCGGCTCGAAGAAAGTAATTACGTTCTGTCGATTACAAATAACTTGCTCGGGCTCGTGCGTGTGTTTGCGCTGCGCTCTGCGTAGTTATGTTTCTTGGATGTTTGCTATGGTTTGTGTTGAGTTTTTAATGGGTTTATGTGTTGTATTCGGTCTGTCAATGTAGTGAAAGAGTTTAACTTTATTATTCCTTTTTTGGTGTAAATAAAATATCGCGACTATTCTATTTATTGAGTATTGGTTGCGTAGTTTTGTTTCTGTTGTGGTGCGGTTCGGTTTTGAATATTTTAGTTCGGTGTTTCTATTTTGTTTCTGTGGTTGCAAAATATTGCTACGGAGATTCGTACATGTATCACAATTATTATTCAATGAACAATTATTAAATCAGAAATTTTTTCAATTAATTCAGGTCTGCTCCTACTCTCTCTTGGCCCAGTTTAAAAACTTTGGAAGTAAAAAAATCAAGACAAACGGCCTAAGAATTGGCAAGAACCAAGTTGCTGAGACAACCAAGACCAACATCAACAACATTTCAACAACAACTAAAAACGACAACACAAACGTTGACAACAAAAGAACCTGCCGCAATTCAAGTCCAATTATTGAAATTGTTGAGAGGGAGAGCGACGATAGAACAATTGATGCTGCGGTTACTGCTGCTGCTACTGCTTCAACTATCGTTAAGGATAACTCAACTGAAAAGTTTTTTTAAGTCGTAACAACTCAGTTTCTTTGTTGTTGCTGTTGTTGTTGTTGTTGCATCAAAAAATGAATAAACGAACTAAAACAAAAATAATTCACTATCAATTTTTTATTTTACATTTTACGTTTTTTTGGCCAGAAACAAACTGTGAAAACCCGTGAAAAGTATTACATTCAGACATACCTTACTTACATACTACTACAACATATTATTATATCTTTTAATTTGAAACATTTGTAATATTATTCAACCTAATAAGACAAAAATATTCAATATTTAAAAAACATACAAATATATTGAAATTTAATGTTTCTTTAATATAAATGTAATGAAACACCTGGTTTGTGATGTTACGCGCAACGAAAATTTACAACGGATTAATTAATTTATGTATTCAATTATCTGTTATTAAATTAATTTTTATGTTTGTTCATGTGGTTTCATGGACTCAAAATTTTGTAAAATTTCAATGTACAGTTGTTGTTACTGATGGAAGAAAACTGGATAGAAAACGCTGGCATTATGCTTTTATTGTCATCATCCTTTTGTGGGAGATTAACATTGTTGTCTTCGAATGTGTGTAACATCATATGTTGTTGAGTAACATTGTGTAATGTTGTAAGACATTGTGTGTTGTTGTGTAACATTGTGTAATGTTGTAAGACATTGTGTGTTGTTGAGTAACATTGTGTAATGTTGTAAGACATTGTGTGTTGTTGTGTAACATTGTGTAATGTTGTAAGACATTGTGTGTTGTTGTGTAACATTGTGTAATGTTGTAAGACATTGTGTGTTGTTGTGTAATGTTGTATTGTTATTTAATACTATAAAACTGTGCCAACAATATAAACTTTGTAACCTATATTTTGTGACTGGAATGAATTTATAATGTTTGTAAAAGAAGGAATGAATGGTCGATTTGTTTCTTTAAAATTTTTATAATTAATTTTATTATTTTTATTTAAATTGTGAAGTTACGAAGTCGTTTTATTAAATTTTATTTAAAGATCCAAGCAAATTATGACTTCTTTAAAAACAAATGAAACATCAGTTGCCAGATGCAATGGTCTCGCAAATTTATTTTAAATCATTTTTAAATGAACATCTCGAAAGATTTTTAAAATAAACCCGTGGAAACTTATTAAATGTTTTAAATTGTTGTCTCATCATTCTACATTTCTTCCTCAAATTCGCATTTTAATTTATTTTAATTTATTAATTTATTTTAGCGAAAAGAATATTTTTTACTGATATTTGGGAGTTCAAAATTCTCCCGTTCAAGGTTTTTCTCATGGATATATAAAATTATCCATGGTTTTTCTAATCTAAATACTTGTACATATAATTTAAAACGAAATACTTTCATTAATTACGTCGTCAAACGTTACATTAATTTTTTTACATGTCGAAGAGTTGTTTTGTTATTTCGCATTTTAATGTTGATACCGTTCTAACGAGGTTAAACAAACTTTTTTTATTACGTATAAATGTTTTCGTTTATTTCAAAAGTAAACTTTCCCCTTCATAAAAACGAGATGAATAATAAATAATCAATGAACGATATGTGTATACTAATTAGAAATAAATACTGTTGTCTTCATCGTTAGAGCAGCTCTTGAAATGATCCCATGACAAGACCTCGGTTTTTTCCATGTCTACATTACATTTCTATTATAAAACAGAGCATTTAATGATAATAACATAATTTTCAATTAAAACGTTATAAAAATTTGTAATAAATATGTATTTTAGCATACATTATTTTATAAAAACGAAAACCAGCCAAATAACACACAAAGTAGAAGACATTTACAAGCTCCTTAGATGACGTCCAGTCGAAAATTCAATTAATAAATTTTTATCGAGTTCACGGTTTCACGAGATTCCAAGCCTAAAGATGGGATGTTAATGTTTGCTGATGACTTATAAACTAAAAGTGAATCTAAACCAAATTTTTGCTGGATTTCAAGTGGATGTTGTTTAGAGTGTATGGTGTTATGAGTTTGTTGGGTATTTTAACAATTAGATAAGTTATTGATTCCTCTGTATTTTGGATGAATGTAACTGATTTACTGAAAATTTGCAAATTTTGTGGATAGTGTTGTTGGTTGTGTGCATATCGACATTTCCAATGGTAATAAATATTTATCAAACTTCAAAAACTTAACATGTATGCATGTAACAGATTGTTGCATTCAACTTTACATGTTGTATGCGATTGATGGTCTGGTCTATCATTTGAATGTGTTGCAAAGTCGAATTGATGCCTCCCATTCATAGTAATCACACGTCTTGCTGTGAGATGCATCTTAACACTTTCAGCTATTTTTGATATTATTAATAGCGTACAACAGTGGCCAACACCGCATTTAGGGCAGACCACAGGAGAGAGGGGGGGGGGGTTCTGTCTTGGTACCTCCGCAAAAAAAAATTCCACAAGAACGATAATGTAACATAAAATGCTTCAGCTGTTTAAAACAATAAACACAAAAAGGTCACTCCTTGCCACCTTTTTCCAACAACCTTTTTACTCCCACATCTGCAAGCCTGGCTATAAAGTGACCGTAGTGGGGGCTGACCCCCCCCCACACATCTCAAGGTACAATTTTTAGTCTCCTAATACCTTTTTACATGGTTTTAAATAATTTTATCAACAAAATAAATTTCAATACTTTAATGGTTTTTCGGACATTTTAATTCAAAATAGTATATTTGAGGTTATTATAGTATAGTAAAAAGTACATTCGAAATTATTCAATGTTATTTAAAGTTATTCAGCGTTATTTGAAGTTATTCAGTGTTATTTTTAACTTTTATGAACTTAAAATATTGTTAAATATATATAAATTTGGAATTTGGTAATTTGAAATTTGAAATCAAATTTTTAACAACCTGCTGAAGTTCTCAAGAAAGCTGAAAAAACCATCATATTAAACAAACAAAGAATTAACATTGTAGAGACATTTGGCTATACACACAACATATCAATTCGAACACCCTAGATGCTATAGGAATACTGAAAAAAGCTTTTTTGTTCTATCATGCTTAAATGTTCTAGCATGTTTAAAACAAATAAAAATTTTAATTTTGAATTCAAGAAACTTAACAATGGTTTACGATCTACCGGTAGAAAAATCGAAAAATTAAAGAGGAAGCTAACTAACGCGGAACATGCTGTGGTTTTTATCACTAATTTGTATATATACATACATATAGTTGAGAATATATATATATATATCCATTAATACCATTAATACCATTAATACTCTCCATTGTACTGAAGAAGGCACGTATGTATACAAACTGGAGCAAAAATAAACACCACATCATTTTTATTGGAGGCATACGTACATAAAACTCTGAGTACGTTTAGAGGAAAAGAGAAATAAATAAATAAGAGACATCAAAACAAAAAAAAATAGAGAGAGAGAAGAGTAACGTATCAGTGTTAAGAGAGAGGTAGAGAGAAAGAGAGAGAGAAAAAAAAAAGAAAGAGAAAGAGAGAGAGAGAGAAAGAGATAGGACGATGAAAACGAATTAACAACAGAAAAATGTAGAGAGAGAGAAAAAAAACGAGAAAGAGAGAGGGTGGGGCAGGAATGTTAAATAAAACCTGATACTCGTTGGAATGATCGGCTCATTGATTACTCATAAGGAACCGTTCGTTACTGTATGGATTGTCAATACGCGACGACAAACTTTACTGCACTGTGCTGGCATTGAGACAATGTCTTGGTTGTTGTGGTGATGATGATGATGGTGATGATGAGAATAATGATGGTGCTTATTTTAAGCATGCTAGAACATTTAATCATGGTGATGGTGATGATTATGATGATGATGGTGATGATGGAAGAGGAGGAAGATGAGGAGGAGGAAGAAGATGATGATGAGGAGGAGGAGGAAGAGGAGGAGGAAGATGATGATGAGGATGATGATTATGGTCAAATTGGAAATATTATTAAGGTTTTATTAAGGTTAGTAGGTTATTCTCTAATATTATTCAACTGCTTCCAAAGAATTCATTTTCAGATGATGAAATCTCGTTAGTTAAACAAAGTGCCAACTGCAATAAATACTTCCATCTTTAAAAATACTAAAAATC